CTTCCTAGGCAACTGCGTTTTTGTGCTTTATATCAACAGAATATAGTGCAGTGCATACAGAGTTTTGATGGATTCAGAGGTTAAAACCTCACAAATTGTGGAAAAAGGTAAGGAATTCTATTTTTAAATTAGCAAATTGAAGGTCACATCCGTAGCTACTAAAAGGCATAGTGTTTAATTTCTTCTCACCTAAAAATAACTTACACGGTTCAATGCATCGTTTATGCAGTTGAACAATTCTTCTAGTGAGCTTCTGCTTGAATTAGAAACACTTATCCAGTAGTTCATAGTCTGATATCACAAACAATGCATATAGTTTTACTATTTACCGGTTAAGCAATAATCTGGTTATGATCTGAATGTCAAATGATACAAGGATCATTTTTCGCTCATTTTAGTACAATAAGACATCCTACTGATGCATAAATCAGTTATTGTCATTGACGGTTGAGTAATATGTCAATTATATTTGCCATTTCACAGAGGCCTTCCTATTCCGAAAGTCTTGAATCATCTTAAGATTTCTCCAAAAAACGATACTGTAGTGTTCAAAGTAGATAGCTGATATAAAAAGGCTCCCAACAATTGAGGGGAATCTGCACAGTCTAATAGTTCACATCAGAACCAAAGATGTTCTTCTAAAAAAATGCTTTCACTTGCAAAAACTTCGTTTTTTGCTTAAATCCCTTTAAAAATACTTCTACTAAACTAAATGGGTCATAAGTAACTGGCGAAGTTGAATGGCGCTTACATTAAGCAGTTGCTGAGATGTTAAATATGGCCTGGCACAGGTGCTTGAATTTCCAAGCTTAGCTGCGAAACTTTGCTCATACCAGTATTGCTTAAAGTGTCTGAGATGGATGCAAATAACCTTTTTAAGTGTGGCCCCGGGCCTGCATTTTGGTTCATTTACAGGCATGGTTTCTACCATCAAAACCAGTTGCGATGCACCAGTAGAGGTAATTCAGAAGTCTTATTCCACTTTCGACTATTATAACCATCTAACTGATTGAAGCATTTAAAAATAGGCCTGCAAAATGAATTATGCTAGTACCATGAGAAAGCCTGAAGGACATTCGTTGAATCACAGAACACAGAAAATCACAAACGTGATTGCTGCTGGCGCCTGGACGGCACTTGACTTGCGTTTAGGCCGCTCCTGTCTTTAGCACCTCAAGTAATAGGTTTTGTTTAATAAATACTCGCGATTGTCTCATTCGCTTTGCTGCTTGCGCATGATTTTATTTGTGTTCTCACCAATTTGTCTTTGTTTGTACTCCACGCATTCCCACAATGAACATGGGATGTGTGATAAAAGTGAGTGTTTTTGCGGTATGCCAACGGCTTATTAAAGTAGAAGTCGCTGATTTTGACTTGAAACCATCAACTAAACAAAGGTTTTGTGCGACCCTTAGGGTTGTTTATTAGCAACAGTGCGTGGTTGAATAGAGTGCCCCCAAACCAATGCATCATCTACACAGGCAAAAGCCTGTTGACAATACTTATCACTCTATTTCATCTTATAAGCAATATGCTATAGATTTTCAATTTGGCTTTTGTTACGCCATACAGTAACTAGGGAGGAAACGGGAGCCCCGAGAGCCTATTTGCATAATTAAAGAGCAGTCAAGTAAAAATAGCCACAACAGGGGAAGCTTGTCGTAAGCCATGGCTACTAAGAACACGCTCTTACTTCAAAAGGACAATCGACAGACGCAGTTTATGTCTGAATATTTGTTTGCGCACAGTTCTGGATTCCTAATGCGTCTTAATGTTACGATAGGTAAATGCAAATACACGGTAAGTCTAAACATGATCGATGCGGTTAATTATGGTACACAGTTTTTGGGAAATTAGTAGAATTTTCTCTACAACACTAAATTGGATTACTCACACAGACAAGAGCGTGATTAGTGGTCCCCTTGTTGGCACCCACAGTCTCACCCTATTCCTCGGTTTTAGCCATTTTGCGTTCTTCCTGTAGGCACAACTCTTCCTTTGACCTAGCCACCGATTGAAAAATCTATTTGTTTAACGTGTAAAGAGCCTCGGGATTAGTAAACTAATCCGCCAGCGCTACACCTACCTGCTTTACCCTCTTTTTCTCTCTCTTCTCCCATCGTCCACTTTAATGTCACAACCCCTCCCATTGCATTGCTTACCAATTCATCCCATCTCGTCGCATAGCACGTTTGTCAATACAATGCATCGGGCAACGCTTTCGAGCAGGCTGTCATTACCGTGACAGTGGTGGTTTTCATTTCGTCATAATCGAGCGTTTCAACTTCAGTACCATTGCATTCATGCTCATGCTATACGGCTCTGTCGATCGCATTCCATGAGCATTCTTCACTGCATTCTCTTCCGCCACTTCTGTTGACGGTTGTATTATGAAGAGTGTGAGAGTGACGTTGAGGACAGGAATAGGAGTGGGACTGGGAGATAGTAGAGGAACTCTTACTGCTTAAACTTATGTTTGCATGTGATGGCATGAAGGCGTTGTATGATGGATAGAGAGTTGGAAAAAGTGCGGCGATGAAGGAAAGAATGCTAAACTGAACGAATGAATGACGTGATGTGGGGCATTTTGAGACGAAAACCATGGAAAGTTGGAAGAAAGAGTGCGCGCTAATTGGTGAGACCTGAAGAATGAATTGCCGTCGGTGATTACACTTCGTAGAAACCTCCGGTTTCCATCACACCATCGCGGTTGTGCTACGTGGGGCCGGATTAGTACATACTGAGGTGACGGATGAGGAACACTCGGGGTGCTGGCCCAATTTCACGCATCCTACACCTCTGCACCTTACTTCATTTCTCCCACCTGCTCTACCCTTTTCTTCTCTTTTTTATGACTTGATGTCTATGTTGGAAATTATTACTAGTTCTTTATATTTTGTGCAAGTGCCCTCACAATTTATTTTAGGAAAGCAGTCAGTTGAAGCATGACACTGCCAACACTTTCGGTTTCTTACATCTCATTTGCTATTGAGTTATTTGATTGCGCCAAATATATGCCGATAATGTGTATGTTCCGAAACTCAAAGTAATGCTGAGCATTATATGGCAGGTGGGAGTTTGAAACAGAGTTTTCCATAATTTAATTACTTATGCTTAGGGCAGAAACTTTGGTTGAAGGGGCCAGTAGCTTTATCTGCTTTCAGTAAAATTTCTTAAAATGGTGCCATTTTATTTGTTTCAGGAGTTCACAAAGTCAAAAATACTTTCACTAACAAACCAAACTGACGAGGTCATTTAATGCGCCATGAGATTTTAACCTTTCATTATTTGCTGATTTATTCCAATCTAAACAGCTAAAATGGGTTCGATTGCAAAATGAGGAATTCTCGTAATTTCTTCGTTTACATACTGCATTAAATGTGACAACGGTTATCAGTGCGAAATGAATAAGTTGATTTCTAAAACTTCATAATAAATAGCATTTCGTGATAAGATTGTGTGAATGAAATGTTTATCAGTGATTGGCAAGTCCCAAACACGAAAGTACTTGGAATGGGGGTGGGGGATGAGGTGAACTTATTAATTTGCTGCTGCCCTGGATATAAAGCTGTACCTGAGATAGCCATGGCCTCATGCCTGCATTCCTCCATAGATCCATTTTCCGGTCGCATCAATCTTCGCAGGACACCTGCGCCCAAATGGGCCGTGAGGACGCACACAGTGGCTGAATTATCCACTGACCTCATATTCTAATGAAAATCTGTAGCAAACAAAGTCTATTATAGCAGAATTGCTATTTAAGTCCCTATTTCCTCACGGTTTTCCAAATTCCTACATTAAATGCAAAAGCAGCTTTATTTGCTATAACATTTCCTCCAAACTCAAGCATTTCTCACCTTCATTGCCTAAAGTAATGTAACCTACGCATTTGTTATAACTCTATGAGCACTTTCTGCTCAATGAGGCATTGGCTAATACAATGCTAGTAGCAATGGAAAGCACAATTGTGTTAATTAAGTCCCTGTGACGTTAGAGGCAGGTGAATTCGAGAAAGTATATTTAACAGACCTCACACAAATCGGTTTGCATTCTTAAAGGATGTGGAAGGAAATGAATCCACTTCTCAAAGAAAAACCCAAAAATGAGATAATTAGTGCTTGCGAATTGCATCTTAAGTGACAGCTTTTGGTTAGAAATATATATACAAATCCAGCAAGAAAAGATAGCCGTATTCATCAGATGAACTAATATGTTATACTTTCCTCCAATGCGTCTCTTCAACATAACGCTAAAGACTGGGGTGGAGCTGAAAATTACGAAAGCATTAAGGTCAGAAGTACAACAGATGGTGGGCCCATTGAACGCCCATTTCCTCGCCAGTTATTATAGTGTTATAACTTACTCCAAAAATCATAGAAGAAGAAGAAGCGGCGCTTAACTATTGCCAGCGGACTTTTGCCAGCGAAGGATGAAGGATGTGGTGTCATCCCAAACCACCACAAAATTTTTCTAATAAGGAAGCCTTAGGGCCGAGTTAGACCTTGTTTAGGTGGGTAATTCCTTGAATTTGTAGCTAATTATTATCATTGGGTTGAATATGGTCATTCTATTTGCAATCGATGTTGAATAAAATTTTTAATTAATTGACACTGAACGACACAACGATATCTTTAACACTACAATGTACCTTGAGCTAAACTGGAAGATATGCTGATGCTCATTTGCATCTGTTAAACAGTCAATTACAATTTTATAAATGCTTACTAGGGCGAACTCATTAGCAATTTCGTGTATATTGAGGGTTTGTCACGTCTATGTGATTGAGCATGATGCGACTTTCAACCTAAATATTGGTGAAAAGGAACAGAACCCTTGTACTGGAAGTGCAATGAATGGTTGCTGCAACCAACAGTTCTCAATGTAAAGCGGGATCTGGTTTAATCAAAAGGAATTTTAATTTACTCGATTTAGTGCTTATAGGCCACTTACACTAACATAGATGCAAAAAACCTCTATTTGTACTTGACAGGAAAAGCTTAACGTGAAATCCTTTGTAGTACTTTAAACTGCTTCGGCACTATTCCCAGGCAACTGTGCCCTCGTACTTTTTTGTAATAGAATAATAGTGTATTGTATGCACAGACTGTGCGGCTACTAAAAGGCGCAGTGTTTAATCACTTCTAACAAAAAATATATGGCACAATCCAGTGCATCATTTATGCAGCTGAACGGTTCCTCTAGTGAGCTTTGGCTTGTGTAAGGTACGCTCCTTCAATAGCTCATATTCTGTTTTCAGACACAAAACAGTTTGTTTTGCTGTTTACTTTTTAAACGTTAATCTGCTTATAATATGACAGGCAAAGAGCACACTGATCATTTTGCTCATTTGAATGCGGAAAGATACCCTACTGATGCTAAAGCCACTTACTATTGTAGATATTTCAAATTTTGTCAATTAAAAGCACAATTTTAAGGGGGCCCTACAATCTCGAGAGTGTTGAGTTAACTTAAGATTTCTTTGATAAAAGACGCGTTTTGTGTGCGAGGTAGATAGCTGACAGACGAAGGACCCCAACAAATGGAGCGAATTTGCAAAGTCCGCTAACCCGGATCGAAACCTAAGACGTTCTTCTAAATGGTGTTTATGCTTGCAGAAACTTCGATTTTATATATGAGTGCTACTAAAACACATCTACCAAGACAATTGATTCGAAAAATTTGTTTCCATCGAATGACAAATTAAGCAGTCGCTGAGATGTTAACTATGGGTTAAAGCAGGTGCTCAAATTTCCAAATATAGATGCAAAATTTTGTGTATTCTAATATTGTTTAAAGTGTCCGAAATAGGTGTAACTGAAGCTTTATAAAGGGTGGACCTGCGCTCGCATTTCAGTTCTTTCACAAGTAAATTTTCGGAAGCCAAAACCCGTTGTAATGCATCAGTGAATGTAATTCAGAGGTCTCCATCTGATAAAATACTCCAGGTACCTAATTGTAATTTGCTCTAAGCATATCTTTAGTGAGATTTATCGAATGAAGACTTTCTTTCTTCTATTCTAGAAGTGAGATGATTAATATGAAGAAGAAGCTACTGGTTCTTTCATTATCTCCAAGGCTAAAGAAACACCCTTAACAATAATAATTCCCTCGTTTTCTTTTAGACCGTAAGGCACTTTTGAATTCAAAAACAGAAAGCTATGTTCAGCTTATAATTCTCGCCAAATTACAGGTGATCGGTAATATTTGTGGTATAAAACTGTTCACAGCTTTGCCTAATTCATGTTAAGAAATAAGATCTCCTTGAAAGAAGGCTGTTTTCCCCTTTAAGAGCTTGTTTTTTCAACGTTAAAAGGCTGCTTCATAATTTTATTTACGTAATCAAAGTAAAATTTGTGTTGATCTCGCCTCATAAGAGGACTGCAGCACACCCACTTTCTAATGGCAATATATTCCGGCCGGATTTCAACTTGTCGTCTGTGCACCAGATACCATTCGCGGCTAAATACTGCTGTCCTTTTATGCCTACTCTTCAAATTTACTCACGCTTTTAATGACAGTTCGCCATTTTATGCGGTAATATTAGTCGCCTGATACCAGCTGGTTGGAAATATTGAATTGGATGCGAATGTGCAAGGAGGTTTTCATGAAATTAGCTGAAAGTACGATAGCTCTTGCCGTCATCATGATTCGGCGCCATGAGAAAACACTACGATAGGCCTTTTTAAACTCAGAGCATATACGAATTTGTCTTTAATATGAGTTTTGATTAAAATTAGGGCTCATCTCTAAATAAATAACGGAAAAAGTCTTCGATTTCCTTTCTATTTATTTAAATCGGGTTTTGCATAATGCAGCTGGCAAGAACTTATAAGTTTTGCTGAAGTTGCAAAAAATACATTGATTTAAAACATTTTGATACGGAGGATGGCATGCAAAGAAAGACGTTCACAATACTGGGATCTTAGCGATATTCCTAAATAATATTGAGTATTTGAAGACTGTGGTCTTATGAGCAGAGTCCTGTTCCAGGCTTAAACACTATAATAGAAATGTTTGGAGAAATCCCGAAGTATTGGCTAATGACAGAGCCTGAGTGGTGTGCACTGGGAATTCAGCAATCTAGTGGGTGGGTTCATTACATGATTCACAAACATCATCCCCATTCGTCGCCCTCGTACGGATGCGCCTACAAAATCAGAAAGTTAGAGAAAAGTCCATACATTAAAAGCGAATTTATGCCAAAAGTTAAACAGTTTAACATAAATACCACATAGCAGAGATAGCAGAAGATAAGAAGAGGAGAATGACCCCTGACACCAACATGGATCCCCTCTTAGAAAGCTTTGGCTAATGCAGTCTATTGACGGATATGCTATGCCACTCCATAGAATGTATTGGAAAGCAATACCATAGGAGAGGTGGCGACTTTAAGAAGGGGAATGGGGGAAAAGAGGGAAGAAGAGAAAAGGAGAGGGTAGAGGAGGTAGGAGAAATGAAGTAAAGTGTAGAGACGTAGGATGCGTGAAAGTAGGCCAGCCTCCCGAGCGTTCTACGACCGTCACCCATGCATGTAATAACCCGAACTGACTTAGCACAACCTAGACTGTGTGACAGAAACAGCAAAGGCTTCCACGTTGTGTAGTCGCTAGCGTCATCACACACCTCACGTCACATATTTCGTCATAAAGCTTTCAAACCATCCACGCATTGCATCACTTTCCTCTTCCTTCGGACTCTCCAAGATTACTCTCACTAATTTCCGTACATCCTCCCCTTCCTTCCGTCAGTTTAGCATTCCATCCTTGCTCCATTGCTGCATTCTGTCCTGCTTACTATCCACCTTCCCAAGTGTTCATACTATCACTGGTAAGCCCTCGTTAAAGTAATTGGAGTTCTTTCACCTCCCAGTCTCACTCCACTTCCCGTCCTCATTGCCGTGCTTACACTCTGCACTATGCAGTTGTCAATAGAAATAGCGGAAGTGAATGCAGTGCGGAATGCGCATAGAATGCTAAGGGCGCAGCTGGATGGAATATGGTAGACACATTCAATCATAAACATGTCCATTCGAATAGATGTCATAGTCCCATCTACGCTCTCTCCAGTTCAACGTTCCTGTTCATTGCGAATTGGTAAACATTTGGTAGGGAGGTGAACCGCAAAATTATTCACTAAATAAATTTCGGATGCTCAGTGAGGAATTAAGTTAAAGGGCTTAATCATCTACATCACATGCCATGATGTTTCTATGCTTGCGCTAATGTTAAATGGAGCAATCTTTGCTACCGCTTTGACTTTAGGATCTGCCTTGGCATAACTTTGCCATTTTCTTCCAACACCACGAAAGTAAGGAGGTAGTATTGCGCATTTTATAGGCTAATTTGTTGTTTTAATCACCTAATTTTGGAAAAAAATTGAGTGAACACTTGAGGTCATCATTACGGCTGCAACTTCTTTAACATTTTCTAAGTTGAATCTCTTTTACTTTGAGGGAGAGCTCACTGTCCGGTTACATCCAAATCGAAAGGGTAGATATGCTAAATGTATATTACCAATGCCATTGCTACTCCTATTCCAAAAGGGCCGAACGCTCTCGAAATGAAAGGCTTCTACTTTTGAAATTAATTTTACATGTCATGACACCATTATACGACCATCTTCTAGTTTGATAAAATAAAATATCTGATGGGACACTATTTAATTGTAATGAATACTTATTGTATAAAAAGATTTTAGAAAGATTGCGCCACATGTAATATATAGAGATTGTGCTCTATGGATCAATTTTTGCTCTGATTCATAGGGATGGAGAACTTAAGTCTTTTGCGAATAGTGTTAGACACTAAACTCCCTCCACATACCCTGGCCATTATACTACACGTCTGACTGTCACCCTCGCATGCACGAACCCGGCCCGACGTAGTTCAAAACCCATGCTGCAACGAAAAACTGAGGTTTCTACATAGCGTAGTCGCTGGAATTAATTCACCCTTCACCCTCAACACTTCATTGTGCACTCCGTGAAACCAGCTACGTGACAAATCGTGACGATACAATGCAAGAACACGAATTGGCCCTACATTTCCACTGAGTCCCTCAAGCATTTGCTCTTGTATTTTTGCGCTTTGTTTTGTCTATCTACTTCAACTTGATTTGCCCACCAGAGTACCAATATAAGTAAGTTTTGTACGACCTATTTTGTTTTACGTTCTATAGACGTGCTCAAAGCAACTAAGGAATTGAGGCAATGGACTGAACAATACTACGACGCAACGATGTGGGGACGTCTAAGCTGTTGATGGGAGGTGGTACGACATTATGAATGCATAACCTATGCCAAGCCATGGAAGGGCCGGTGATGCGCCCACTGTGCTGTCTATTTTTATAGTGTCCCACCTGGGTGCGTTTTCCAAGGTTGAATCAAATTAAGCAGGCGGCACCTTTCCTAGTGGTGTCCTCCCCCATTCCTTTGCAGCCAAACCTTCCCCGGACTGCCTGTGGGCAAGGTAACATCACTACTACCACGGATCTTCAGTTGGCATCGTTCATGGCCAGAACTAGGATAGCATCTGATCGTCTTTGCACCTCTGACTTTCGCCCACGGCCAATGAAAACATGCTCGATGAATGCTTACGTCTTTGTTTATCTGGCTAGGGCCCATGAATCTCACGTATCCTCTGATTTCCACCTCAGATCCGAAAACCAACAAAAT